AAGTAGTCGATCATCAACCGGCAAGAGCATACCATACCTCAGTGACCGTATTCGAGTCCCCTACCCCAGCTATCCTACCCGTGACACCCTATCGATATCGCCGGCTGTACCTCCCAGATCTCGCATCTACACCACAAATAAACAATATAACTCTTTTTTTTCTGAACCGCGCCGCCGTAACCTTCAAATTCGCGTGTCTTGTCTCTGAAATTGCATTGCCTCCGTGCGATGTGGCCATGGACGCCGCTCCCGCAATTGAAGCAAGCCCAGCAGCAGCCAGCTTGACGCTCAGGGGAATTGCGTCTTGCCCTCGTGCGTGGGCGACAAATTACGTCGTGAGATCGCAGTACTACTTTCAGGTCCAATTTTAACCAACACATGTTCCAGGCCCTATAGCAGAGTACCGGATATAGAGCAGGAGTTGCATATCACAGGTTTTGATGCCCTCTCTCGATCTCGCTCTCGCGAGGAGGTAAACATCGGCTTAGTTACCTGTACAGTGTGTGCTACTTATGGTATATACATGGTACCTTGCTCTACCCGGTCGAGGCCCATAGGCATGTATCATCGTCATGTCCGAGAACTGAGAATCGGCCTGCAAGCAATTGCAAGCCCCCGCCCGAGCCAGAGCGCTTAAACATCGCATCGTGTAGGAACGCCCCGGGTATGACGGCTATTCACTCGCGAAGGGAGTGATGAGGTCGGGGGCCCGAAAGGTCCCCGAAAGACAATTGAAAGCGACGACGACATAAAGAAACATCTGTGCGAGCTACATGGACACATGTCTGCCACGCGCATTGTGCAACTTGAAGACTGGAGATTAGAGATCGAGCTCGAGGCCATACTTTGCTGCCTGCATACAATAGAGTAGAGTGTGTACAGTATGTAGGAAGCTCCACCCTACATGCTTCATACATATCGTGGAGCACAGACCGTACAAGCCAGACGAAACACCGAGCATGACGTTTATTTAGCTGCGCTGGCTGCCCGTAAAACACCAAACTGAAACGGCCAAACCTTGAATGACTTTCCACCACCACTTCCTCCCACCTCCGGCCCCCCAAAACACAAAGTTCATCTCGTCTCGCTTCAGCAGCGGGCGTCCGTGATTCTGAAGCTTGAAAAAAGGGCCAGACAGGGGGCGGGCAGTGCTGGCCCTTGACTCCCTTCCCTACCTTCCTTGGTATCCTTACCCTTACTCCAGAGTATCGTACCGCGGTAGGCACTCTGTACCCATGGAAGTATCTACTCTACCTACATTTTACCCTCCCCCCACCCCGGACCGATGCCAAGTCCTGTATTTCTCCCAACCGAATCCCCACGGCAAGTTGCCTGAAGCGGATAAAACTCCTGTTTGGGTCGCGTGATTTTGCGTTTAGATATGGCCCTGCAATCGGATTTTTCTACTCTATAATTTGAAAGCTCGGCAAACATTGTTCGTGATGGTTAAAAAAAAAAAAAAAAAAAAAACCTAGATATTATATCCGTGAAATGATATCCTTAGCTAGCATGTAGCTATGATCATGAAGCTAGCTGGCGGGATAGGATAAAGGAAATAGGATAATGACGTTGCCCTACGGGCATACCCGGAATTTGATACGATCGTGAGAAAACACGTCGGGACGGTAGGGCCTTCGAGGAGGGAAGTTCACGAGAGAGAAAACAGAGAGTGATACCCTGTGATCCAGGGGCGGCTCTGGTGGGGCCCGCTACAAACCTACTGATTAAGCAACAACGGCTCGCGAGTAACAATCCGCTAACTAACCTAACCTCTCCCTCGCTAGAGCAGAGTGTACATAGGCGCGATTTGCAAACCATGGAGAGTAAACCCAGGCTGAGGCAGGGTCCCCTCCCTCTCTCCTCCACCACGGACGACCTCCTCCTCCACCTCATTGCTCGCTCTCTCCACATACCGTATGGGGGTCCCAATTCCCTTCCCCTTGACAATCATTTCCTAGTTCTTTCACGACCTACCTCCCCAGCAACCAGCAACCAGAAACATGGCTGGCTATTATTAGAAAGACAACCAGTGCAGCATGAATTGGATGATGTGCCTGCCTGTCTGTGTCATGTATGTGATGTGGAAGGTCCGTAGGGCAGATATGCAATTTTCCTTATTTCCAGTGTTTTTCCTCGCGCACGGGCGGTATGGGCAACGCGATACCTAACCTACCTCCAGAACCCTACGAGCTAGAGTACCTAACTCTACTTTCATAGACTGGGGCTGGGTGTTTTCCCGGTTCGTTGTTGTTGTGATATCATCCCATCAGCTTACCCTAGCGTTACCTGATCTGTTGGCGGATCACCGCTCGGCTACCTGATCCGCAAACAGGATGGGGGTCCCGGGTGGGCAAAGGGGAGGGGAGAAGCGGGGAAAAAGGTGTGGGATGGTAGGGAAAAGGGAAAAAAAGGGTCGAAAGGGAAGAAAAAAAAAGTACCCTTATGCTATGCTTTGGCCCATGGACGGCGTCCAGCGCCTGCGCGTAGAAAAAGTAGAACTACTCTACTGGTACCCTAGGGTAGGTAGGCAGCAGGTAGGGAAGAGTAGAGCGAGCACTCTGCTGCACAGTGCGCACTTGCAAGTTGCACTGCAGTGCGGGGGACTCCACACATCCAATTTGACGATCTGCAGGCTGGCCCTTTGGGCGGAAGCAAAGCCGAAGAGTAAAGTGAGTAAGGTAAGTGAGAGTAGAGTAGTCCCAGAAGAGACTCGAGAGGAAGGGTCAAATCAGCGAGTACGGTATGCACAGGGTGAGTACAGGATGTACTACGGAAATGTGAATTACATGGTATGTATTTACCACATACGAGTTAATGCTATTCTCGCAATACCTAGCAGCAGAACCTCCAGTCTCAACACCACATCCCACGGGACGCTGCCGTGTGGTCGTCCAAAGAAAGAAAAGAAAAATCCCCCCTCTTGGCAACGGCATCGTCTGGTCTTTGCTGGCTGGCTGGCTGCTGCAGAGCACGTATCTAGTCGCGTCGTCGGGCAGGTACATACAGCACGACATGATGTATCTTTATCGATACGACGACGTGCCTGTGTGTATCTGTTCTAGGCATTCTATTCTATCCTATGTAGAGTTTCCATCTGGTTATATCTGTCTGGCTGCCTTGTTATCCCAAGGAGCAGGTATAGTTAATTACATGTAGATTAGCATAGCTACATAGGTAGGACATCAGAAGTAGAGTATGGCACATATGTACTCTACTCTTACCTACATCTCTAGATTATGCTCGTGCAGTTACGACCAGAATACGTACCCAGTCCAAAGTACATACCTCGTACATACCTCTCTCTCTTCGCGAGCCTTCGAAAACACCTCTCTCTGCGTCTGCCTTCCTATCTCAGTGACCTCGACGCGAGCATTGCAACAAAAAAAATCCGCAAAAGCCAGGAGGCAAACGGCCGTTCGTCGCCATGGCAACAACAGCATTACAGCAATTGAAACCAACAACCCCCGGACAAGGCGCGCGCTACATCTCTCGACCTCTAGAGAGAGAGCGGGTATGCTCTGCATACCTACTCTACTCTAGGCCACTTAGTAATTTCATGTTCCTTCCGAATCAATCTTGGACCAAGATTCTGTCAGTTGTGTCCCACAAAGCGGCCCTTACTAGTCCTGGTAACTGTAACACGGCCGGTCGTTCGGGGCAGTCGGTCGATCGGCAGCCAGGGAAACACCAATTGGTGGTTTTTCTTGAGCATAGCATGAGAGATAGAGAGAGCGAGGGAGGGGGGAACAAGGCTTGCGCTTGCAGCAAAACACTCCCCCCCCCCCTAGTTACTTTTACTTTTACTCGCTGCTCCACATAATCTAACCCCCGCTCCCTCGGGAACAACCTCTAAATCTCTACAAGGGGGCCAATCATGAAATTGAGAGAAAATATGGGAATCATGATATGTGCACTCTGTGCAGCAGCAGCATCAGGCAGGCGTTCATGTAAGGTATCGCTAAAAACAATATCTTCTGCTGCTGCTGCTGCTTGTTGCTGCGCTGCTAGGGATCGCAAGTTGGTTCATTCAAAATTGCATATATGTACAAGAGTAGCTATCGGAGCATCTGGGTCCCGAATTGTAAGTCGAGAAAGTAGATAGTTAGGCAGGGAACCTTCCGCATACAGAAGTCGGAGAGAGTGAGGTTGCTCGTTAGGTCAGTATGAGACAGCCCGCCGCCACCACAACCACGTACGGCCACCACCACCACCACCACCGCAACGATCATTGACTTGTTGCAAACGTGGTAATCGCTTTTTTTTTTTCTTGCCCTCTTTCCACTTCCTAGGCACGACAACAACAAATGCGGGGTCTACTTTCTTGGGGCCGGACAACGCATTCATTACCGTGAGATTTTGGCTTTTGAGAGAGAGAGTCCTTTTTTTGATCTTCTCTGCTTCCTAACGGATTGGGAGAAGGGAGGAAAAAAGAAAACAAATATCGGCGATAATGAGGTTAGAATGACAGCGCCCCACTAGACTGGTTGAGGATGGGGGGACAGGACAGGACATGATGGAGGAAGGAAGGAAGGGAAAGAGGGACCCATGGAAAAGTGAGTTACTCTACTTTACTTACTCTGCAGCTGCTGGCTGCTGCTGCTGCTGCTGCTGCTGGGGTAGGTAGGGTGCTAATATGATACTAGCCAAGCTTGGAACTACGATCACTGATGGCCTACTAACTACTACTAGCACGAATGAAACTCCTCCGTGGTATATATATACCATGGTCTGGCCGCACCTGCGGTCAAGGAAATCAGTGCACCCCCCAACCCAATCGATCCTCCCCGCAATTCCTCAATATCAATATATAGTACCCAGGCCCACCCACCTGCCTCACTGTACCTACTTAATACTACTCAACATATATACGGAGCACCACCACCGTCTACTACTATAACTACTACTACTACTACCTACCACCACCACCACCACCACTATCAAACATCTTCACAACCAACCTTCACAATAAGGTCTTCTACTACTCACAACCCATAATTGCAATGTCTATACCATTAACCACCTCAACCTCCACACCCTCACCCATCTCCACACCTCCCTCAATCCCTTCAAGTACACCCTCATCCACAGCACCCTCCTCACCCTCACCGCGGATCAAGATGAACATCCGGGTACGAGAAGCAACCATCAAGGACCTCAACAGGGTGGCCGACATCAGCAGCCAGGCATTCCTCCACAACGCTCTCTTCGACAACCTCAACCCCCGGCGGCACGAGTACTACGAGTCCTTCCGCTACACCCGTCTCCGCCATGCGCGCAACGCAATGCTGAAGCCCTCAATGCGCCTGCTGGTCGCCGAGAACGACGACGGCGAGGTCGTCGGATACGCAATGTGGGAGCGCCTGGGGAACGACGCAATCGCACAGAAGGTCAAGGCCGAGCGTGACGGCATTCTTCTCCGTAAGCTTTCCCCTCCTCTCTCCCCTTCCACTACACCTTCAATTGAAGTCACAAATAGCTAATTGCCCTACTATACAGGCCTCGAAAGATTCCTCGTAAACGTCACAGACCGAATAAACGCCGTCATCGCTCCAGACCCCTCCGCCGACCCCGTCGCCGCAACCAGGCTCCGCATCGCAAGCAACACCCTCGAGAAGCTGCACTGGGACACGGCCGAGCGCAAGACCCGCTGGCACCTGCACTGGCTCGGCGTCGACCCGGCGCAGCAGCGCAAGGGCATTGGCAGGCACCTTGTGCAGTGGGGCCTCGACCGCGCTATCGAGGACAAGGTCTGGGCCGGCATCGAGTCGAGCGCCGTGGGCGAGAAGCTCTACTCGAGTATGGGCTTCAAGGTCATTGGCGAGCGCCTGCCCTGCATCGAGGGCATAAATATGGGAACTGTTATGGCGTGGGAGCCGAAACGGTCATGACCGCGCGCGCAAAAGAGAAAAAAAAATGGGCCTTTTTTTTGTTTGATTGTATGATATTTTTTCTTTCTTTTTGGTTGTTTTTCTACGGTTTTCATTTGTGTCGCGTGTTTTTATCGTGGGTCATCTTTTCCAGTTTTATTTTTTTACGTCGATTTAGCGGTCATTGGTGGGGAGGCAGGGGGGGATCTCGAGAGAGAGAGAGAGAGAGAGAGAGGCAGATCAAGAGAGCTGGAAACAGAGCTCGAGAAAGCAATTGTACAAATAGTAATTGAAACAAATTAACAAACACAACCCCAAGTTCCATGAAAGAGAGTCGTAGTAGCAAGGTCAGATTTCATCAATTCAGCCACAACGCAAAAAACCTCTAGAGAACAAGTTGGGCGGGTGGGTTGGCCAATTGGGGCATATTGGGTGTTTTGGCGGACGTCGTTGGTGGTGGTGGGGTTTGGTTTGGTTTGAGGTCAGTCAGTGGTTTGTCCGGCCGGTGGTGCTACACTACCCCTGCCTTTGGGGGGAGTGAGGTGTGTGGGGGGGGGGGGGGGGGAGAGGGTATGTGGTTCGGCAGCGGGTGTTCGCCAGAGGAAAAGAAAATAAAGGGTTCAGTTCACATCACACGAAACTTCGCTAATTCTGGATATTCAACTAGGGTAACAGCTTTTTTTCCCCACCCCCCGTCCCGCAAGAAAGAAACGAAATTATCTATCGACAAAGAAGGTCATGGCCCGCCAGCCAGGATAGACAACTCGGGGAGTTGGAAAGAGAGAAGAGAGAGCAGGCAGCGAGAAACGTCATACAAGGTTAATCCCAACAGCTAGCTAGCAGAAAACCGCCAACGAAACATCAACCCGTACATACATACCCGATCGCCATAAGAACACCGTCTTAATTGCAAAGCAAAAAAAAAAAAAGAGAAGAAGGGTGGTGGGGTCGAGAGCGCTGGTCGACGACGATAGATATCTGCATCTCGTCAAGCACCACCAACAGCACCACCAGCGGCACCACCACCACCACCACAATCCTCCCCCGATCTCCTTAATGCGGCTCTTGCTTGGGCAGATCACCGACACGACATCGACCACATCGACAAACAAGATCACGCAGAACAAGAAGAAGGTACCGCCGGTCCATGGCACACATCCACACACACACACATGTACAAACAACAGCTGCTCTACATAAACAATTTATGGAAGTCTTATACCTACCTATGACAGCTAAGCTGTACTCTGTCAAGGTCTACTAAGGTAAGGTAGAGTATTATAATTACTCTAGATAGGCGGTTATTAGAGCTAGCTGCTGTGCTGCCGGCCTCGATAGTACTCCACATGTACCTCTGCAATTGGCATTGCTATTGGCATACTTTCCTTCCTTCGCCCTTCCCAATTTCCCTTTCTTACTCTACTCACCTGCTCTGCTCTACTCTACCTACCCTATTTACATGTAGGCAATCAATCCGACCAATCGCCAATCAAGGCAACTTTAAGTCGTGCAGCATCACCAGCAGCAGCAGCAGCAGCAACGCAACAGCAGCAACAGTCAAAGCGGTTTGGCACGGATAAATGCGCGGGTTACACCAAAGCAGTAAGCCTCCAAACAACAGCACAAGCGGCCGCGAGCAAGCAAGCAAGCAATTGCGCAAGGTCGAGTCAAAGCAAGTCAACAACAACGACGACAGTCAAAGCTCTGGTCCTGTCTCTCTCTCTTTTTTTTTTTTTTTTTGGCTTTGCCAAAACATTTGATTTTTTGATTTTTTGATGCACAGCACAAAATATCCTGCCCTGCAGCTAGCCAATGAAAATAATTTCGTGTCCCGCGCGATCCTTTTATCTATGCACCGACGGGTCGACGCGAATGGACATGGCCTCTGCTCCCTAGCTAGTAGCTCGCCTTACCCTACATCTACATACCCATACCTACCTGACATCTGCCTGCCTGCCTGTTTGCCCGTACCTTCTACTGGCCCTGCTCAATTGCTGCTGCTGCTGCTGCTGCTACCTACTGATATACATACATAACTACTTTCCCACGACGGCATGAATCAATGGGGTCCCCCCGGGGGGGGGGGGGGGGAAGAGCGGGGTTAAATCGTTCGTCCCGTTGTCGATATGTACCCATAACAGCAGCAGCAGCAGCAGCGAGTCTACCTTACCGATCAGTGAGCGGAAAGAGGAAGGCTATCGGAAATTCGTGTAGGAGTGACGCCAAAGATCTCGGTAGTGGCGTGTTTATCGGACTTGTGGTTGACACACGTATCAAAAAAAAGGGAAGATCTTTTTTGTTGCTGTTGCTTACTTTGCTCTAATCCGCTTATTCAACAAAACAATTCGTTGAGCGTTAGCGAGACGTACCCGTTATTTAGGCGGTGGCGAATAATATTGTCGATGAGAGGGAAAAAAAAGATTTATATGTTTGGAAGGGAATAATAACGGCAGCAACAACGTCGACTGCCAACTGGGGGCCCTGGCACACGAGCAGAAGGAGCGGACCCGTGGTTTCGTGAGCAAGGCAAATCGGCAAACAGCGGCCGGAGGGAGGAAGGGGGGGTGAAGAAACTTAAGCACGGAGCACAGATTGAGCACATGAAAGCTCGGGGCAGAGAGTGGACAGCGAGCGAGTAAATAACGGACACGAGCCCTTTGGATGATTTTCCTTAAATTCCTCGACTCGTGTATCGAGATGCGCGGAAGACCGACAGCTTCCCTTTTTTGGCGCGGGCATTTCAATCCGCCGAGTGATACCTTATGAACAGGCAAACACATCTCCCCGTTTCCCTGGTTTTACAAAGTTCTGGATCATCTTGAAAGTAGCCCGAATGCGCCTTTACCGGAAATCCGGAATTCCCAGAGGATCACCAATCAATGGAACGTGTCATCGATACATCGATGGGCGTTTTTTCCCCACTTATTATTAGCTAAGGGTCCCGATATCTTGGTACAGCGTGATCTCGTCGACCGGGAAAAAAAAAAAAAAAAAACGAACAAAAATTGTAGCTTCAAGTCTCCAGTATCGATAGATCTACCTGTAATTAACCTAGCTTTGGTACGGATTTCACAAGTCTAAGACGCAGTCCAAAGATCACGATGGGGTTCGGTTCTGCAAGTAATCTAGCCTGCGTCTTGTGGCATATCAGATCTAACAGCCGCACCTACCCACCATTCTCTTTTCACCCAACTGACGTACAAGGCTGAGAAGCAGCAGCAGCAGGCTGATCACGCATGCACATACAGGAAAAGGGAGGCTTAAAGGGTTCCAGAGCCATGTGTTCTCTGTTTTGTGATTCGGATCATCCAGCGGCGCTTGGCGTATCCAGAACTGGGCCGCTGCTACCGAAAGAAGGATACTGTGCTGTTAGTTAGCTGAAGATAATCCATTTCATTAGGTAGGTCTTCTTCCAGCAGGTCTTTCCTAAAACATTTGTCGTAAGAAGGAAAGTATGTTGGCCATGGGGTGATCTTTTTTTTTTTGCGCGCGTGCACGTGAGCTCATGAGGAAAGCGACATTATCGATATCGGAGAGCTAGAGTCCGGGTCTGCGAATTTTTTGTTAACATTATTCTCTAATACAAATCTTATCAATTGAGAAAGAAAAAAAAAGAAGGAAGGGAATGAAGAAAATAAAGAAAAGGAAATATATGTACATATCTAACGAAAAAAAAAAAAAAAAACTACGCATGGGATATACTTTCCGAGAGTGTGCCCATTGATCAACCTTTCCCCAGTAATTCTAACCCTCCCCTCCCCAAAATCTTATCACCGGACCCTGGTACGACGGCATGAGGGTGGAAAAGGTTTGAAATTGCGGGGGACCGGTAGGTTTGTACCCTTACATGTACCATACATAATTTCAGGGCTGAGAAGTAAAAGAAAACACGCATTTGTGGAGCCTGTCTAGATAGAGTAGAGTAAACCACTCTACTTATGTGTTCCAATCAGGCCCGAAGGACGTAACATCGATGTTCATTGAAGTCCTGCAACCTTGTGTAGAGACACTAGTAGAGGTATGTAGAGGTAGGTATTACAGGTGCACTGGTATGTACGGTAGACAGGTAGGTAGTACGAGTTCTGATCAATATCGCAAATAATGCTTGTCGTATCGCAGACGTGTTTCTGCATCGCATATCATCATATCACTGCACCCCCCACCATCATATTGTTTCCTATTTCTCCATTAGGATTGTTTTGTTTTTTTTTCCTTCCAAGAAAAAACGTTGAACGGGATGAACGTACGGAAAAAGTATTCTGAAAAACAACCGAAATTATCTTTATCAAATTCGGGGATGAACGGTACAATATAGATTGTAGATGCCCAAAATAGTTTTCCTCATTTCCGCTGCATATAGAATTCTATGTGCTGGGTATAGTTTAATTAGATTGCTGTATGCTGTAGGTACAGTAGAGTCTCCAAGATATACCGGTGAGAGAAATAACGGGCATACCATTGCTCTAGAGACCGTCTGGAGCCGCCTTGCCAGCTGTAAACAGTTGGTATCTGTGACACGACTGCGATACCATGGTACATTGCATTCTCAATAGTGGGGTAGGGGTGAGAAGGTCAGTGATATTATGGGTAACGATGTGGGCAGAATAGGTATGCAATGCCGACTGCAGCGATATGCAGTTCTTTTTCGGGGAAGGAGGACGTGCGCAGACTGTTGCCGAGGTGGATTTTCCTTAAGAAAACGGCATCTCGCGGCCCGGGTTGCAATGAGGCGCGCGCTCTTTTCCTCGCTTCCTGCTCGTTTCCTGTGGGGGGTACCCGCCTTGTTCCTAGGATCCTCATACATACGTCGGCACGTGGCCCCGGTATGTATTATACCCTGACCAGCTTGAGAACACCGCTAGTAATGAGTTAGATACTCGCTTGGAGGAAACATGAAGAGGTCCAGGCCGGCCAGGGAGGCTGGCCAGGGAGGGGCATTTGCAGACGTACCTACTGCAGAGACCAATGCAGTGGCTGGCAGGCTCATTTCTCAACAGTATGAGTACGATACTCATTCTGCT